CGGGCAATTGTTGGAGATTCCAAAAATAATATTATATACAGAGTGTTCCATTTGAAAAATCAAAGTTGCTACTGCTTTCTAATAGAAGCGGCAACACCGCATTGTCGAAAATATTTTAGTTGGCTAGAGAATGTCCGAATATGCCCTCCAGTGAATTTTCAAAGTGATCCGTTGTCTGGTTCACCAGAAACGTCTAATGTGCCATCCACCGTGAATCAGCCTGTATATGTCTGTTTCAGCTGTCTCCGTCAATTATCGATTGCGCGGGTGACTTCACCCGTCACGTGTGACGGGTGATTCAAGGATTGTTAGTGAACAGAAATGTTTCATCAGTAAAAGTTCAAAAGCTACTCTGCTTCTTGTTTTTAATTTTATTTTGTCTCAAACTCTGGCTCGTCGACAAAATGTCTGCGGGCAGCCCTGGTATACATCTGCCATGAAGCTTAATTAAACAAAGTCGACCTATATAGCGAGAGCTTAAAGAAGATTACGAAAGTTATCGCTTTCAAGTTTATCACAACAGTTAAAGTAAACAAAATTAAAATCATGTAGTTACCGAAATTCGATAAAATTCAGTCATAACTTATTGCAATATACCCAAAACTTATTTCATTTTGAGGTATTAATAATAGTAAAGTAAGCAAAAACCATAGCAATGTTCTTTTCAGGCGGTATTCTTTAAAAATGTGGGAACGTTTTTCGTAGCAACGTTAGTTTAAAACGCCTTGTCAACTTATTTCGTATGTTACGATATTAGTTGTCAGTATTTCAAGTTCACAGTTCGTTAATTTCTAGTCTGACAAATGGTTAAATCAAAGAAAATGCATAATAACAGTTTTACAAATGTTTGGTTACGGAGATGAAAACCGAATACAAGAAAAAGAAGCTCGCCTATTTCATGAGAAATTTCCTATTATATCGCCCATATCACAAGGAAAAATAAGCAAAATAGTTAAGCAGTTTCGCAAGCTTGGTCGCGTGGGGCAGATAAAGAAAGCAGCCGCCAATGCAATTAATGACGAACTCAAATTAGATATGATGTTCGCGTTTCAGGAAAACCCACTTAGATCAAGTAGACAGGCATCCACTACATTCAATGTTTTCCATACATCGATAGTAAACATACTGAAAGAAAATAAAATGTATCCCTATATTTTTAAGGGGATATGTAGGAAGCAATGTGTACAAAACTAAACCTTCAGATTTGAGTGACTTAAAAAACGAATAACGCTTGCGATTAGGTCGGTCACGGCTGATATGTTGAATAATGTTAAAAGACAGTTTTATTTGAGATTAGGATTTTGCCAAGAAGTTCGCAGTGAACATTTTGAACATCTAGTTCGTAAACATCCATAGTTCTTTTACGTATTCTACATTTTATTACGTTTTGATTTAGATTTATTTCTTTTTAATTGTTGCAATAAACTTGAAAGCGATAACATTTTTGAATGGATAATGAAAGAATTTTCAAACGATATATCACAAACTCATATTTCCCAAAAAATTGGGGGTTGTACCTGTCAAATTATAATTGACATTTGACGTAAATAATGAATTCATTCCATTTGGATTTTACACACTGTATAGATTCTTTTGTTGAAACCCCAGCTCAAAAACGAAGCATTCGTAATTCAACGCCACACACCGTTGTTACCCGCTATGTGAATTTTTTTCAACATGATGGGCTGAAAATTTCATTGGTTGAATTATTCAGTTGACCACGATAGTGGTCATTATGAATATCAGGCCCCAGTCAATTTTCTGAATTTTTTTAATTGTTTTTCATTGACAGCCTAATCTATTCTAGTCTCAAGTAATTTTTTTCACGGCTTCAATGTTGGAGTGTGAAAAATTGGTTTACTAGTGAATATTTTCATAACGTACAAAGGTTTCATGTTTATTGTAGAATCACTGTTATTCGTTCTTGTCTTCCAGCTTCTTCATTGACAAAACTTCATTGAAGTTAACAAGTATACGCTTGTAAAATGATCGGATTGTATTAGGTAGTTCAAAACCCTCATACCAATGTGACATATGACGAAGTGTAATTATCTAGTTGAATATTCGACCTTATTTGTCATTTCATTCCTAATAATCATTATACATTATTATTTATACCTACCTCACACGAGTCTTTTTGCCCATTCGCATATCCCGCACATAGGAAAGATTCCAGAATAACTTTCGAATGGCCCGCGGTTCGGAACATTTCCTGGCATACGGGGTTCTCCATTATAGGAACCTGCACCTCTTGGAGAACAGAAGGTACTCCTCCTCCATATTTCAACCTTCCCCAACCGGTGACGGTCGCCATCCTTCCTGTGAAGTCTTCGTCGTTTCTTGGTAAGCAAATTGGTACTGCAAACGAGAGAGAAAATAAAACAAGTAACAAATGAAAATTAATGATTTTAAAATGATTTCACTTTGAATGATAACGACAAAAATTCAACACAATGACAGGGAAAAGAGCTCGCACAAGTTACGAATTCTGAGGGTTGTCGTTCATAGGGGTGCGATAGCTAGTTAACGGAAATAACGTATTTTCAAACATATTTCAAATAGCTCTTCACCTTGTTGCAAATATCCATTTGATTACCCGGGACCTGAGCAGGAAATTAGGTGCACCACCACATTTTTAAACTATAAGGAACGGTAAATACGATCATTTCAATAAAAAATGGAAAGGTAGGGGCGGGCCTGTGGTCTGGCCACCCAGATCACCTGACTTGACCAAAATTAATTTTTTTCATGGGGGCATATCAAATTGATTGTGTACAAAACTCCTCCAACATCTTTAGAAGACATGAAACAAAGAATCAGGGAAATCCCAGAGGATATGCTGGAAACGTATAGAGAATGAGTTCAACTTATTCATTCTTATTATTCATGATCCGAAAAGCCGTCTTCATATCCCACTTTTCATTTCTAATTCAGTCAAAAAATTGCGGTTTCGGTTATCGATCGATTTGTGTTGGTGTAGAGAAACGAGTTAGTGAAAGTTGAGGATGTGGGTCGTTAACGATATCGATGGTGTTGCGGTTTTGAATAGTTGAGGTTGGATTATATGCTGGTCATTCAGAATGATGAAAAACTATCAATTTCCAGAGAATCACCTAACGATTAATTTTCGAGAAAGTTGCTACGGAAAAGTGTGGACAGATTTCCAATACTTCTGTGAATAAAGAGTATACTTACCGTGAAAACTGAAATCTCAAAAATGTAGTTTTTTCTGTATATCTCTCAACAGAAAAAGATACAGTAACTTTCTCAGTATTTTTTGATAGTACCTGAAGCTGGACAACTTTGTCAAGTCAAAAAAGTTATTTGTGAAAGGAACTACTTTTTGCTTGCATAAGAATTGTTTGATATGCTGCCATTATAAATTAAAAATACTTTTTCAACCATTTATTTCGAAAAACGTGTCAAGTCACGGTTCTTGGAAATATTTAGAATGCATATACTTCAAATTGTCTACCAAAAGATCTCAACTAGCAATTTTATATTTTATAATGGTTGTGAAAACATTTTGGAGAAACAAATTATAAAACTGTATTTCTACCAGAAATGTTTTCAATACTTATAATATCTATGTACTTTTCATCTGTAAAAAATAGCACTATATGTGCAGTATTTCATATTTCCGACTCATCTAATGTCAGTATTCCGAATTGCTATCATTTTAAAATGACGTCATTCTATAAAATAGTTTGTTATCAATAACAAGAGTTTTAATGTATTTTAGCTTATACGTTATCTCTATAAAACTGTTAAGAAAAACTTAGTCCTAGGAGTGATGGTATTGAGGCAGAGTCGGACTACTTTCAAAGCTATAGATTTCTATAAAAATAAAGATAGGATTTCTCACGTATTGTTTGGATAAATATTATCTGTCGAGATGTTTCGGCTAAGAAACTTCTTCCATTGATCAGGGATAGTGGGGTGGATTAATGAATAATGATTTTTTGATTCAGTGTTATATCAGGGGTCAATTTGTATACACCTCTCAAGGGTAACATCATTCGAATTCACTGAATTTATATTTTCAAAATATTGTGTTGAGTTTTGTATCAGTTCATAACTTTATGACAGGAAGTTAACAAATGGTTGGGTGAGAAAATTTCATCTGATAAGAAAAAAGCGATAAATACCATCGAATGAAATTTTTCAGAGGTCAATTCGCATTGAAAAGAGAATAATTTGATTACTTTATTAGCGGAGAAAGTAGTTTAATCGCCCGTATCATTACCTGCATTATAATGAGCGCTGCCTACTTCGACTTTACCTGTTTCCGGCAACGAATGGTTAGCAAGAGAGTTTGTCATCCAAGCAATGATTCATTTGTTTTTTTAGATAATCGACCGTGGTTATATTTCAGTTGAAGAAAAGTGGGTCGATTATTAGTATAATTTGCATGGAAGTGTTCGTTTATTCTCTTGATACCTGGAAATGATCTCAAACAAAAAAAAATATTGAGATGAAATTCAACTTAATATACGAGGTATGTTCGAAAAATAAGGTGAATGTTTTATTTTTTCTTTATTGGTACACTTATCTCGAACATATGTTCATAGTTTCAGCTATTAAGTATGTTTATTTTGTTAGTGAGAGGCATTAAAGTTGACAGTGTTTTGCGTGTTTGGTGATTTCCTGCTATGAAAAAATGGATCGAAGAATTTGCATCAAATTTTGTGTGAAAATTGAATAAGGTGTTCAAAAATACTTGAAATGTTGACAGGCGCATACAATGATTGTACTCTGAGTCAGAAAAATGTTTACAATCACTGAGAGAGCTAAAGGACATACCAAAAAGTGCCTTATTTTTTTAATTGACCTCGTACACAATTTTTTAACCACTTCATAGAAGTTTCCGTATAGATATAATCGTTTGACTTCTATTTCATTTCTTATGAGAATTCGTTCAGCTAATCAACCAAAAAAAAATATTGAGATGAAATTCAACTTGATATACGAGGTTTGTTCGAAAAATAAGGTGAATGTTTTATTTTTTCTTTATTGGTACACTTATCTCTAATATATGTTCATAGTTTCAGCTATTAAGTATGTTTATTTTGTTAGTGAGAAGCATTAAAGTTGACAGTGTTTTGCGTGTTTGGTGATTTCCTGCTATGAAAAAATGGATCGGAGAATTTGCATCAAATTTTGTGTAAAAATTGAATAAGGTGTTCAAAAATACTTGAAATGTTGACAGGGGCATACAATGATTGTACTCTGAGTCAGGAAAATGTTTACAATCGCTGAGATAGGTCAAGGACATACCAAAAAGTGCATATCAGAACGCCTTATTTTTTTAATTGACCTCGTACACAATTTTTTAACCACTTCATAGAAGTTTCCGTATAGATATAATCGTTTGACTTCTATTTCATTTCTGATCTACGTTGTAGCCAAATGCGTCTCAAATGAAACTTAATGTGAAAGTGAATAATTTTCTTTATGGATAAATCATGTTCACACCTCCAAAAGTACGTACAAAATATGATAAAAATTTGAAATATAATGAACAGCGTTATATTAATAGTAGTGAAAATGTGGACAAAGAAGAGAAAACTATACTACAGACATGTTGTCAACTCAGTTCACAACCCTCACCCATACTTCCACATTATATACAACTTGACTGAACTGGTTCGAACTGACCTCGTAAAGTATTTTTTAAGCAATTCATAGAAGTTTCCGTAGATATAGACATTTGACTTCTATTTAATTTCTTGTGAGAATTCCTTCAGCTATTAGTTGGACTGGTCCAACTGATCTACCTCGTAGCCAAATGTATCTCAAATGAAACTTCATGTGAAAGTGAATAATCTTCATTATGGATGAATCATGTTCACACCACCAAAAGTACGTACGAAATAGGATGAAAATTTGAAATATAATGAACAGCGTTATATTAATTGTAGTGAAAATGTGGACAAAGAAGAGAAAACTATACTACAGACATATTGTCAACTCAGTTCATAACCGTCACCCATAGTTTCACATTATATACAACTTCGCTGTGTGAACAATCCCTGGGTATTTTGCAGACTTTTCAGCCTGTCTGAAAAGGGTCTTGTTGGAAGATTGTTTGCGTTCAGCCTTTTCCCAAAGAGGACAAAGATACCCTTCCAAATAACAATAGACCAGTTGCTTCGCTATCAGTGATCAAAAATCATGGAGAAAGCCGTAAACCACGATATCCTGAAATATTTGGGAGGCTTCAACATCTTGAGCATTCATCAATATAGCTTTCAGAAATAAAGATCAACAGAGGCAATCTTCTATCGTATGTTACCTATATTTGAAATAACGCAATTGAGAAACATAGAGAGTCAAGAGCTGTTGCGCTTGATATCTCTGAACCCGGGCCCGCACTGCAGAATGCTAGATGGTCGCTTGGAGGGTGGATGGTAAAGGTGGATGGTGGAGGGGAAATGCATCCTGGACGCAGTGAAATGAAGCCAGTATCTAACTGACAGCGGAAACGTAACAATCATGCCTCTCTTTGATAAATAAACAAAATTGTTGAAACTAAACGTCAGAACATAAACGTTAAAGGAAAGAGTTACATATTATGAAAAAAAGGATCTTGCTATTGTGTTGTAGATGTTCCACCTTACGAATCTATTGATTGTTGTTCCATTGAAAAGCATGAAATATCAGTAGAATTTGACAATGTTGAGTATTGGGTACCACTAGCATACTCGTGGCCAAATTTCTTTTTTCATATTCATTCAAGATGAGATCTTGAATATTCCCACGGACTCAGACTATGGCCTGGCCTTAATTCCCGCATATATGGAAGTGAACTCTTGAAAAAACACAAATCCGGATCTTCTTCGGAGCTGATTTATTTGTCCCGAAGTGCAAATTTTTCCTTAATGGGTCTGCTGTGTCCCGAATTGCCCTTCTTTTGAACACATAACTTATTACGCTTTCCTCCATAGCTATGCTACCCGGCTGGAATATCAAACACGACTGATTAGGTTGGATAGACGCCTGGCGTACCTTTGGATGATTTCTAGAGGTAAGATGGTAGTGTGGGGCCACTGCTGCTACCGTCGTTCTGTTACTCACGTTTATTAATAGCAGGATGTTCGCCAGGCAGCTATCTACCAGCCACCATCCTACCAACCTTCCTGCAGTACGGCCCCAGCTTGAGGCCTTTCGTCGTGTGTGGCATGAGGGTTTGCTGGCCAAACTTCGATGCTATGGCTTGTTGAATCATTTTTGTGTATGGCTCTTCAGCTTCCTGAAAGAACGTTTCCTGCAAGTGGCCGTCGATGGATATCTCTCGAATACATTCACCATCAACGATGATGTTGCCCAGATATGCATATTGTCTCCAACCCTCATTTTATTGTATATTAACGACTCATTGGAAAACACCAAGGATCCCATATATTGCTTTGCTGATGACAGCACACTTGTTTCGCCATTACATTTGGATTCCAGGACATCGGCTTCGGATGCACATCTTCACCGGCAGCAGGAGTAGAATATCCTAATGAGGATCTAGAAGTAATTTCAAATTGGGGTGAAAGTGGAAGTAACCAGGTTCAATCCAATACCACAAAAACCAGTTTGAAAGAACGTTTTCATTTACAACTTCACGTCATTTTCAAATTGTCATTGGAGACGATAGCAAATGATGAAAACTCAGAAGTCCTCTGGATTATCATCAGAGTTAGCAAATATTGAAAATTCAGAAGTCCTCTCGATCATCATTAGAGATGATAGCAAATAATGAAAAATCAGTAGTCCTCTGGATTATCATCAAGGTTGATAACAAATATTGAAAATTCAGAAGTCCTCTCGATTATCATTAGAGATGATAGCAAGTAGTGAAAACTCAGGAGTCCTCTGGATTATTATCAGGAGTGATGGCAAATACTGAAAACTCAGGAGTCCTCTCGATTATCATTAGAGATGATAGTAAATAATTTCCAAAAGTTTTGTCCGTTTCTATGACTATAATTGAAACTGCAATATCTCAGTGAATACTTATTTGATCAATGCACTTTTGCCAACGTAACACGTATTGATCAATTCCATCAGCATGAAAATTGTGTGATCGGAATTCGATAAAGTCGACAAAGGCCGTTTTTGCCTTGTTCTGGTGAAAGTTCTACCAATGAGAAAGTCGATCAGTGATAGGTCTGGTGAGCATGGTGGGTAAGGCTTATCTTTGACACTCAATTATTTTAATTTTCAAACGGTGATGATGCTGTGATGATTTGCCTCGGTTACAGAAAGTTCCGAACTCTGCCGAACTCTAAGAACCTGATTCGGTCCACAGAGGGGCAAGCACAAAGTATATGCTCTGCTGTTTTATAATTTTCCAAACAGAGGCGACACACACTGTCTTCTTACAGTCAAAGTCTCTGCATATGATGATTCAAATGACAGTGGCCTGTAAGAAGGCCTGTTAGATATCGTAGTTCATCCTTACTGTAGTCCAACATCTGTTTGGTATCAAGCTACGAAGGGTGAATAAACGCCTTGGAGTGAGCCAATTCTGGAAGATTCAGCCAGAAGTCCATAAATCTTCTTGGCATCCAGGTATTTAATGTTTGTTTGGCAAAGCCGATAGAGATGCCAATGACAGGTTCTGGTCCGATGGAGCTGCTTGCAGCACCCTCCGTTGCAAGGGAGCAGCAGCTATATATTTACCATACACTTTTTTTACATTCTGAAACGCCCGGAGAGGTGGCTGATGCAATCAAATCTTTAAAAAATACACACACTTACGACATTCACGATCTAAACTTTCACATCATAAATACTTTAGGCAGCTTGTGTCAAAAAAGGGCAGTTTGCGGGAAGTTTTGCAAGAGTTTTCAAATTTGGTTCTATATGATATTTTGGGCTGCTGAACACGAATATGAGGTTTGCCAATAAAATTTTCCACAGGAAATATATTTTTTTTTGAATAATGAAGGCAGTGAAACTTTCAATACTGTTCCATATTTTTAATGAACTGATATGAACAAATTTGCAATACGACATTTCGTTCATTAGATTTCATACTCAACCTAATTTCTTTCATTGATTTCTGTGTCTATTGTAATAACAAATTCAATTCAAATTCAAATGTATGACAATACATGTCCATGCTTAAAGGAATGATAAAAAAAATTAATGAGAGAAACGTAGCATTGCAAATTAGTTTGTATCAGATTATAACAAATATGGAACAGTAATGAAAGTTCCATCTTTTTTTATAACATTTGAAATAGAGGAGGCAGGGTCAAAAACGGAATTCGACAACTCTAGTTTTTGATGAATATTCCATAAACAATCACTGATATTCTCGATCTGAAAAGAAATTATTCTACTTCCCTAAAATAGAAAACTTTCGTCCGATTCAACCGATTTTATATGTTTAACCGTTTTCACTTATCAAATGTGGATCGAGAATTGAATTCACTTTTATATAAAAACTGTAGGAGAAATATTTTTCAAAAGCGGAGAAATTCTACGGAAGCGCAAAAGGGCCACATTCGTTTCTTGATAATTACAACTTTGAAACCAAAAATTTCGACTTCATTCTCGAAATTACTTGTGAATCACTACTTCCACACAGGCACCGCTCTCAGAGCGCCTCAATGATTTTCCTGTAGTGTATGTGTTTTGTCCTCAAATAAAAATCCTCGAAATTACCTTGAATTACTCTAAATGTCTTAGCAAAATCTTCGAGCATCTCAAATGTGACAAGTTCAGTATTTCATAATTTCGAAATCAGAAATATTTATTTAGAAAAGCTATATATTTTCATCATCTGTTTCTTGGAATTACGACTTTGAAACTCAAAATTCTGACTATATTCTCGTGATTTCGAAATTACGACTAATAAAATTACGAAATTGAAGTCGAAATTTTGAGTTGAAAGTCGTAATTTTGGTTTGAAGTTGTATCTTTAAGTTCAAAGTTGACATTTCGAGACAAAGTCGAAATTCGAGTTAAAAGTCGTAATTTCAAAATCACGAGATTAAAGACAGAATTTTGAGATTCAAGGTCGTAATTTCTGAAAAACAAATAGTGGAAATAGGTGGCCCTTCTTTCGTAAAATTCAGAGGTTTGAAATTGAAATGTTGAATAAATATTCCTGATTTAGAAGTTATGAAGTACTGAACTCGTCACATTTGGGATGCTCGAAGGTCTTACTATACTATTTTAGGTGACAACTCTGTATACTTGAATCTGATTTCAAAAGATTTTCCTCTTCAAAGAAGATGTTTCAGATTGACTGTTTCAGAAGGGCTACCCTGAATACCCGGTTTGGGTTATTACTGGTCCAACTGTAAACGTTGTAACTTCAGTTGGGATCATTTTGCAAAATCCAAAATGATTTCTCTAAATCTTCATTACGTTCGATATGACAGAAAACTTTATTTCACTGAAATACTCCATTGGCAGTCGTACAATATGAAATTTTTCACGTCGCTTTCATTCACAAAGATCTCACCTGTTCGGTAATCCTCGTTGTCGATTGCAATGGTTTCAGTGGAGTGTTCTATAAAAGATTGGGTTGTTGTTATTGGCTTCTTCGTCACTTTCGTCTTTTTCGTCGTCGTCACTGGCTTTTTCGTTGTGGTCGGTCGTCTAGTAGAGGGTTTTTTAGTACTAGGACTTGAAGTGGTAGTGGTACGGATATTAGTGGTAATGGCAGGGCGGGAAGGTCTTGTGGAAACAACTGGAGGTCTTTTAGTGGTGGTACCTTGCTTCTTTATAGGTTTTTTCGTGGTAGTTTCTGCGTTTGAGAAAGTGACATTTCTTCTATTGTAAACCAAATCATTCAATCCTTGAAACGGCTCTTGTAACCCTTGAATTATTTTATTGACGAAAGACTCCACACTAGCATTCAAAGCGGCGTCTTCAATGAAGATAGGGGTGGTTATGTCATTTTCATTAATAGAAGCCAGATTAGACATGTTCAAGTTGGGATTCCTCACTGGGGGAAAATTGATCATATCATCTTGAGAAGGACCAGTTGCACCAACTTCTACACCCTCATAGTCGGCATCTGGTTTCAATGACGAAGATATACTTGGCTTAGGGGTTATTAGGACAGTTGGTGAAGGTCGTTCACTGGTGCTGTAAATGTTTTGAGTGACGTGGTTGTTGATAGTGACGTGATTTACAGGTTTACGCTGAGGAATAGCAGTAGGTCGTTGCAAAGTGGTCGGATGTTGTACGTAAGTCGTTGGTCTAGGCCTCTGGGGCCTAGTTGTGTCTTCAATTGGACCAAGAACTATAATGGTAGGGGCTGGAGTAGGGTAGGTACTCGATATGGGACTAGAAGTAACACTGAACCCTGGTCCAGCTATATGGCTGTTCACTGTGGATGGGGGTCTCCTCGTTGGTGAAGAATTGTAAATATATGAAGTCGACTGTGGCCTGTCGGAGGTGTAGAAAGCAGTCGGAGAATAGGCTGCGGTGGTTTTCGTGTTGTAAATATATTGGGTCGTGGTGGGTTTTTTCGTTGCCTTTGTTGTCGGTCTAGTTCTCCTAGTAGCCTGAGTTTTCTTTCTTGTCGTAGTAGCTTCCGTCCTTCGAGGAGGAATAGTGGTACTATAAACGTATGAAGTAGATGGCGGCTTTATAGAAGTAATTCTGTCCGGCCTCTTCGAAGTTGTAGAGGATCCGTAGGATATACTAGTGGAAGTGCTGTTGAGTATCTGTAGAATATTCACGATAGAGTCATAGTCATGAGTGTTATTTGGTTTTGTCGTATCATGAGTGATAGTGGGAACCCTAACGTAATTGTCTTCATCTTGACTAGTGGGTTTGGGACGGAACATGGGTCTGGTGAAACCCGCGATGGTTGTGTATTCTGGGGGAGCGTTAGAAATCGATATGGCCATTATTGGCGGCCGAGGTGGTTTGGTTCTGTCGTCCGTCAGAGGAGTATGAGTTGGTCGGAAATATCCGGGATCGATTTCGTTATCCTGCTGGTTCAGAAGGATGGTTTCAGGTGACTGATGAGTGACACCCGTTGTTGTGAAATACTGATTACTGTTCACTTGAATAACTTCGTTATCCTGGGCTGTAGGCAGTATGCCAGGATTGAGTAGCGTATTTGTTATTTGTGAAACACCGATTGAAGTTATGTCTATAGGTGTTGGTGGTTTCGTGGTGGAAATAGATGGTCTGTGGGTGGCTAGTTTATTTTCCGCAACGCCTACTGAGATTATGTCGTCATCCAGGAATTCTCCCACCATTACGTTCTTTGGCATCTCGCAACAAGCTCCAAACAGGAACCCGTCCATGCATGCTCCCACTACTTGGCCTCCTCTGCGCTGACATTCGTGATTGAACATGCATATGGTTGGCCCGCCTAGTGGTATGGCTGCTTTTTTGGATGGTTGGCAGTATCTAGGTGTTATCCTGTAGCCTCCAAAAAGTTTCCGGGAACCTGAAAAGAAGTAATTCATCAATTTATAGTCATAATAATTACTGGGATAATAAATATTGAATCAGAGTGATATGAGAAAAAAATATTAAGTTCATATTTCCTTCATGCAATAAAAATTACTTTCATCAAAGAATATAATGATATAGAATTGTTTAGCAGTCAGATACATTACACCTATAAATAGCATTTGTTCTGATGATATTCAATTTTTGAAGATTCCAAAAACTTATGGCAATGGTATACCTCAAAATTTGAAGTATATTGGAATAACTTCTAGAGTTGAAAAATTCCACCCCAGTCCATCAAAATATTCTGAAAATATTTTGTATCGCCTTACATATTTCAAACTTCGGTTTCGTCTATTTTTCATAGTTTTGCGTTCAATTTTCAGTGTCCTCACAACTCCTACTACTCTATAGTAGATTCAATTGAATAGCCAGCAATCTTCCATAGAATAACTTTAGTCTGGAATTCATTGAGCCCTGAATACTCAGTTATTTATTAGTCCAGAAAATGCAGAAAAAGATGAAATACTCGATACAGTGCCAAAATATTTGTCAAACATGTCTGAATTCACCTCTTTGTCCCTACAAAACTTATATGATATAATTAAATCACAATGAATGAAATATAGTACTGATGAAGTTAGTCTCGAAGTTATCAAAAACGTATTTCATATTGTTGGTTATCCACTACTGAATTTAATTAATTTGAGTTTATCAAAGGTAAAAGTACGTCAATGTTTCAAAACTCCAATAGTTCCAATACCAAAAATTCTGAACACTAATTTAGCTAAACAATTAAGACAAGTAAATATGTAATCGTTTTGTGACAAAATCTCAGAAATAGCGGTACTAAATCAAATGATGGAATATATTGATGTAAATAACATTATCTGTTCGTACCAATCAGAATTTCGTGAATTTCATTCGTGTGAATCAGCACTTCAACTTGTTATATCAGATATGAAGAGTGCTTTGGATAAACCTGGAGTTGGAATATGTGCAGTTTTCATTGATATGAAAAGGGCATTCGAAACAATCGATCGCGAAATATTAATATTGAATTTAAGGAAATATGGATTTTTGGGTTCAGTAATACAGTGGATAACGAGTTACCTGGGCAATAGATATCAAAAAACCAAAATGGCAAACATAGAGTCAAAGTGCCACCTCAACAACTATGGTGTGCCACAAGGAAGTGTTTTAGGTCCTCTTTTATTCTTGTTATATGTAAATGATTTGGGTTCTGTTCTGACGAAATGTAAATTTCATACACTTCCCAATTATTTACAGTGTCAATTGATTCCTGTGAACAATATCTATCCATGATCGAGCAACACGAACTGCAAGTAATATGAATTTCTATGTAAAACCAACCTCTGAAGCTAGTTCGATAAAATCTGTATTTTTCAAAGGTATTGTTGAATTCAATCTACTTCGTTAAATCAAAGAATATTCGTCCATAAAATTGTTTAAAACAAAATTGAAAGAATATGTGACAAATTGAACATTAGGAATGTGTATGTGTATGTTTATATGTATGTATATGTGTATATATGTATAAAATAGGTGGCTCCTGATGTGGGTTCATTATGATATTATTTTGTGTATGTAAGTATATATCTGTGTGTGTATATTTATGTATATATTAATGTATATGTATATATAGATCTGTGTAAAATTTTAGCATGTCCCATACTATTCTTTTATTTTTTATATTTTCTGTAATCTGTATTTTTTATATTTTCTTTATACATTGTAATCTGATTATCCGATGATAAATGAAGTATTCATTCATTTCTAAGTAGTCGAAACTATTTCCGAACTGTTGACTTTGTGAAATAAAACATATATATGTAACAGAGATGCATAAAATTTTTGGAGTTTCACCCGATTTGCTATTGTTTTGTAAAACAAATTCGACGTGAGAAATGAGATTGAACTAACTTTGTACACATGTTCATAGATGGTGCAACAATTGTACTCTGTCGCACTTATTCTGTTCAGGTCTCTCATTCATGGACCGTAATGTACCAAAATCTTCCACCACGTATCAGTTTATTACCAAATACATGTAAACAACATTGAGAACTGAAGTGGAAACTTGACATTGTCAAGTGGCGTCACTTGAGTTGTTTTCAGTAGGTACCTCTGGGAATGAAATTATTGGTTCTCCGTATCATATTTTCATCAAAAATGTCGTAAGTCAAGAGTTTTTGACAAAATATTTCACATGGAAGAGGAGTCTGACACCAGGAATATTCTATGCATCTTGCATAGAACTTATGTGTTGTTTTAAAAAATAGTTTCCGATGTTGCTTCATTTATTTTTATTGAAAATATATCTGTATATGTAGAGTAGAGAGGGTGAGTGTGAGCTCACAGCACTTAGGCCACATATGACCTATTGTACATCCTCCCGAGGAGTTGTTCTCCAAGGTCATCGTCCATCCTGTCCTTCCCAGGAAGGTGAGACAGGTCACTGGGAGACATCTCCTTTTTATCGGCAGGTGTAGGCCAAGACTCGCTGAACATACACTCTCTTATTGACGATAACTCCGAGCCCTCGCATAGGACATGCCTGACAGTCTCATCTTCCTGTTCACACATCCTGCATAGAGGCGTGTCCACTAGCCCCATATTATGGAGGTGTTTCCTTAGTTGACAGTGGCCAGTTAGAAATCCTACTGTTAAGCGTAGATTTTTCCTGGTCATCGCCAGATATTTCTTCGGCGCCAGCTTCCCAGGGTCGCCCAAGGTGATCCTGTCAAGATTACATCCTTTGATTCCATCCCATATCTTTAAGGATTGAGCATGGGTGTAACATTTGGCTAGTTCTGCAATGGTCGAAGTCATCTGGCTATAGCTGCCATTGGGTCCTAAAATTCTTAGTCCAGCCGCTTTCTTGGCTAAAGAGTCGGCAATGCGATTTCCATCACTCCTGTCGTGCCCTTTAAGGCACCTCAGGATGATGTTATTATCTACCGAGGCTTTGAAAATATATATAGAATGCCCTTGGAAAGAGTACGTTCATTTATATAATATCTCTTTGAGAAACTGAGCTTATTTACCAAAAAATCGTTGTGATGAAGTATCATGCAGTACATATTTTCTCAAATCGATGTAACACCAGAAACGATGAGTTATACAATGTTCCGCACATTGAAAAACAATATGGCAAAGAATGCTGCCTACTTCATTTGAAATCAATTATTCAGTTATACAGGGTCGCTGATATGTATGGAGATGGTCGATTATCTCTTGAAGTAAGATGGCTAGCGAAAAATGTTAATATAAAAAATTTTTAGGATTTTCTAATAACGTCTTTGCCTTGGATGTCCTAGCCCGTAGGCCTTGCATCAGGCATCATCCCATTATCTATCATCACCGCTGTCAAGAGAACCCCTACTCCTCCAAACTCACCCCCTCCCCGTACCACCGCTGCAAGGCAGCGGCCATACGAGGAGGCGAATCAGTGGGGTAGAAGATACTTATTTTCCTTTATTATCCAAAACAATTACAGATAACATCAATCATAAACTTAATTAACATTGTCCTCTTAAATAACATCTTAAAAATAAAATGAACTCATAACATTTTAACCACCCCCAGTACTCAAACATAATAACGAAAATCTTCAACATACATTTGTTTTCCTTTCCCAGCCCCTATATTTGGTTTATACAATCTATGCTGCACTTCCTTGGATTCGTTCACAGTCTAGCGGTATCGCTTCAAGCCATGCTTGGTGAATTCTATACCCCCTCCTTTTACTGTTTACCACGCTAGCTTGGGTGCATATCCACATCTATTCTTCCCTTTCTTACATCACCACGTTCTCCGCCCATTTATTGACGAAACGTATCCATTCTTCCTTTTTCCCATTTGTATCTCTTAACATAATTTCGCCAATTATCCTTTCCGTCCTCTCCTTCCATTCTCGCCAGCCAATCCTGTCCTCGTTCATGCATCTATCTATCACATGCTCTGCCGTTTCAGGCTCCCCGTACTCACAGGAGCAGGGAACCTCCGGGCCCAGGTTAAATCTTGCCAGGTATCCGGGAAAGTTCCCATGCCCAGTGAGCAGTTGGACAGCCTTCCGCGTCAGACCCAAGGATTCATACTCGACTGTTCTGCAGAACCTGTAGAACAGCCGCCCTGTCCTGCCTCTCCCCCATTCCCTCTGCCATTCTCTCCTTATCTTCACTTTTATTCTTTTTCTCTCTTCCTTTTTACTGTATGTCTTCCTTACCTCCCACGTAACGTCTTCTTTATTCATGTCTTTGGTGGCTTCTTCATGTGCCTTCGCATTGCCTACGTTATTCGAATCGTGCCCCCTCTTCCACGTAATCAGGGTACGTACTCCCCTTCCATTCCTTTCCTCAATCATACTCATTCAGCCAAGCTAGCGTAGAGATACGCATCATATGGAAACCTGTTATCAAGGGCAAAAAATGGTCAACTTTCGCTGAATAGGTGAAGCGAAGAGAGAAAACAGGGGATGTGTGAAGGCGCTCAAATTACCTATAAATAGACATCTCTCGGAGAAGATGTTAGGAATTCCGTCAGAAATCACACGTTGAAAGGTAAGACTTCGTTAGTACTCAGCTTGCACAAGTTTCGAATTCTGAGGGTTGTCGTTCATAGGGTCGCGACAGCGATTAACGAAAAAACATATTTTATACATTATTTTTTTTCGAAACAGTCCAGTCATCACCTGAAGACGATTGTGGATAGTAACAATAGAAACGTCGTAAAGTAACTTCGTTTGGAATTTTTTTGATTTTTTTTCTTACTTTCATCTTTTTTTTTGTTTGTTTCCACTCTATCTACTCGATAGTCATTTCCATCTTTTATCTTCATTATTTTATCCATTTCTTTGTATTTTCATTTCACGTTTTACTTCTCAATATAATTGATATTTCAGCTATTTATTCTGATTTCATTTGTTCTTTCATATTGAAATCATGTTAGACAATGAAAGTACGAACTATCAAAATTCACCATAATATTTGTGCAAGTTTCAAACTCAACTGAAAAAAAGTACTTTTTGAATTTGTTGAATACATAATCATAGCTTTCAGGAAGAGTATTATTGAAGACAATGATTAATTCATAATACTCAATAGTTTTTACTAATTTGATAAACATTTTTGGAAACATCCTTCAAACACAGAACTTATTTTACTTTCCTTCATAGCTAGGCTACCCGGCTGGAATATCAAACACGACTGATTAGGATGGATAGACGCCTGGCGTACCTTGGATGATTTCTGGAGGTTAGATGGTAGTGGGGGGCCACTGCGGCTACCGTCGTTCTGTTACTCACGTTTATAAATAGCAGGATGTTCGCCAGGCAGCTATCTACCATCCACCATCTTACCAACCTTCCTGCAGTGCGTCCCCAGCTTAAGGCCTTTGACCGTGTGTGGCATGAGGGTTTGCCGGCCAAACTTCGATGCTATGGTTTGTTGGATTATTTTTGTGTATGGCTCTTCAGATTCCTGAAAGAAGTGGCCGTCGATGGATATCTCTCGAATACATTCACCATCAACGATGGTGTTGCCCAGAGATCCATATTGTCTTCAACCCTCATTTTATTGTATATTAACGACTCATTGGAAAACACCAAGGATCCCATATATTGCTTTGCTGATGACAGCACACTTGTTTCGTCATTACATGTGGATTCCAGGACATCGGCCTCGGATGCACATCTTCACCGGCAGCAGGAGTAGAATATTTTAATGAGGATCTAGAAGTAATTTCAAATTGGGGTGAAAGTGGAAGTAACCAGGTTCAATCCAATACCACAAAAACCCAGGCATCGGTTTTCTCAAAAAAGATAAACGTCTCCGAACCAGCTATAATAATGTCAGGTCAGACAATTCCGCTTTCTGCTTCGATAAGTTTGTTGGAAGATAAAATGGACACCAATATATCTTGGTACAATCTTGTCGCTGGAATTGCAAAGGCTGCTTCTCAAAAGCTTGAAACACTATTTGGAACCAGAAAAGTGTACACACCCCAGCAACTTTTGAATATAAAGCTCAGATCAAATCTTCTTTGGAGTATTGTTCTCATGTATGGAGCTTCGCCCCCAAACATACCCTGAAGCTGGTGGAGACGCGAACATCACTTACAACCTTGGTAGTCTGGAACATCGAATATAGGTTAGAGATCTGTCCCTCTTCTATAGATACTTTCACGGGAAGTTTTCAAGTGACCAACCAACAATGGTATGACAATTTAATGTTTGTAGACAAGAGTAATGTCCGGATCCCCCTTCGCTAAACCACTGGATATATGATGTAGTTCACTCTGCTAAAAGCTATTGTATAAAGAAATTCTGTATTTATTACTCACAGATTCATGAGCCAAACTATATTTTAACCCTAAATTGCACCAGTGTAGGGCACATACATTTATTCAATGAAACATACTACTCACTTATATGTGTATCAAACTGCACAGGTTGTTCCAGCTCCAGCAGAGCCAAATCGTTTTCGAAAGTTTGCGCGTCGTACTGCCTGTGCACGATAACCCTCTTGACATTCCTGCTGATGGGCCTCTTCTTCTCCAAATCTCCCGAAATGTCGAATTCGCCGAAAACTGCAACCAGTGAAGCAAGGAATCCCGGCTGGCAATGAGCTGCCGTCATCACGTACTTGTGGCTGATCAAGACTCCCCCGCATTTGTTTTTCGTGAACAATCCCAGCCAGGTGGACTCCCTCACAAGGACTTGCCAAGGGAATTCGCCAAAGGTGGCGCCTTTGCCGCCGACGATTTTGCCGGCTCTCACCAGAGGTCGGACTCCGCATTCTACAAAAGTGAAACTAAATTATTCCTAGTTTTTCAAAGCAAATAGACCACAAGGCCATGTTGAATTTTGGGGAATTATATGATACTTTTTGAAAATATATAACATCATAGTGTGTCAATTATCGATTGCGCGGGTGACTTCACCCGTCANACACAACTCAGGGAGGTAAATTTGTCTAATACGGCTTTTATAAATTCAGATACTATTTGTTATCTTTTTTTAACCAAACGCTGTACAAAATAAGTGGGACATGGAAATGTCCCGGTAACTTAATTTAAATGCAAAGGTCATAAATTCCTTTACAGCATTATTAAAACATGTGGCTCACATCAACAAAAGTTATTCATTTTGCCATGCCGTACAAATGATATATCTATTCATTTGGTCTTGTACGACGTCGAATACAAAATAAATATTGATTAGCCATCTGAAATTTTGAATTAACATAAATCCGTTCAAAATCTTTTGGTCCTTTTCAATGATATTGATGAATAGCTCCCAGAAAGGGTGAAATTTGAAGTTTTTTGAGTGAGATTATTCTATTTCTCACGGCAAATTTTTCAATTGTTGATTGTTACTTTGGTATGCAGATGTCGTATAAAAATGTTTGGTATTATTTGAATAACAAAAGTTTGAAAGAACGTTTTCATTTACAACTTCACGTCATTTTCAAATTGTCATTGGAGACGATAGCAAATGATGAAAACTCAGGAGTCCTCTGGATTATCATCTGGATTATCATCAGGGTTGATAGCAAATAATGAAAACTAAGGAGTCCTCTCGATTATCATTAGAGATGATAGCAAATAATAAAGTTCTCTGGATTAAACAGGACGTTTTTTAGCTGATTACACTATTTCTCTCTCGAAAACAGTAGAACTACAAAGTCGGTTGAATTGGAGAAAAGTTTCCTATTTTAGGAACTGAAATAATTTCGTTTCAGAACAAGAATATCAGTTGTTATTTTTGAAATATTCGTCAAATATTAAAATTGTCAAATTTATTTTTTTTTGTCTACCGTTTCTATTTTGAATTATACAAGATAATGGCGGTGAAACGTTCAATACTGTTCCATATTTTTAATAAACTGATATGAACAAATTTGCAATACGACATTTCGTTCATTACATTTCATACTTAACCTAATTTTTTTCATCGATTTCTGTGTCTATTGTAATAACAAATTCAACTATGTATGACAATACATGTCCATGCTTAAAGGAATGATGATGAAATTCAATGAGAGGAACGTAGCATTTCAAATTAGTTTGTAACAGATTATAACAAATATGGAACAGTATTGAAAGTTACATCTTTTTTTATAACATTTGAAATAGAGTAGGCAGGGTCAAAAAACGGAATTCGACAACTCTAGTTTATGATGAATATTCCATAAACAATCACTGATATGCTCGATCTGAAAAGAAATCATTCTACTTCCCTAAAATAGGAAACTTTTGTCCGATTCAACCGATTTTATATGTTTAACCGTTTTCACTTATCAAATGTGGATCGAGCATTGAATTCACTTTTATATACAAAC